CAAATCTACCATATCTGTGATCTAACTAGTAAATAAACTTTTCAAGCTTTCAAGAGCAAGCCACGCCTCCTTGCGGTAAATCTTGTTACGTTCATCCTTGTCATCAGTTGTAAATGGACGAGGATAGTGCACCAAAACTAAGTCTAAGTACCTGAATGAAAACAAGGAAAATGCCAAAATCATTGGAATATCACATACTCTCTGTTGAGCAATTTCAACGATTCTTCAATGTCTTTTTTGATGAGCTCACCGCTCGCAGCGTTTTCTACCGGGAAGATTTTTGTCGTCAGAAAGATGTCTTCGGTACTAAGCTTATATTTCGGAAGAAGAATCTAGAAAATTGAGTTTGGAATAAGCAATAGGGTCTTTAGACACCTTCAATGCTTCGCCTAGCTCTCCCTCGTTCTCGTAGTACTTGGCAGTGTCAAAGCTACGATATCCGACTTCAACAGCCTTGTCAACCGCATGGAGAAGCTAAACCGGTAACATTAGGCAGGAATAAAAATTTTGAGATTCGGAAAAGAAACTCTGGTGGCCGTGGTCGAAGGTCCCAAAACGAAAACTACCGTAACCGAAAATATCTTCATTTTCCAGATTAATTGAAAATTTTAATTTCATGTGTTTTCGGTCAACTTTTTCGGCATAAAAATTCTAAAAAATTTGCGCCTTTTTGAGGGTAAATAACATCAGAAAAATAGACGAAAAACAGTGAAAAACGAGAAAATTGAGATATTTTTAGGTTACGGTAGTTTTCGTTGTGGGATTTTCGGCCACGGCCACCGGCGTTTCTCTTCCACAGCATCGATTTTTTGTACCATAATTATATTATGGGGTTATTCATGTAGCGAAAATATGTATTGAAATGCATTTCCGCGCCCTCGAAATTCAATGCATGAGCGTCGCGAAATGTATTTCAAAGCATTTCGCGACATAACTGTAATTGCATTTCAATACATCGGGGGTACGACGAATTCGAACGTTTTCAAATTCGAACAGACCTAAAATCGAACTGCCTGCAACAGAGCGCGCATGAAAGCACACACAAAACAGCGTTCCAATTTGGGACAGTTCGACTCCTTACCAGTTCGAACTTGTATTATGCTTGTCTGAGAAAAAAAAAACTACCGTATTCAGACTGCAAAAAATACTCTCTAACCTTTTTTTTCTCAGACAAGCATAATAACAGTTCGATTCTGTCCGCGTTCTGTTCTGGTACGTGTGCGAAAAAAGGACTGTTCTGAATTGAATCTGTTCGATTTTGAAAAAGTTCGAATTCGTCGTACCCCCAATACATCGCGTGGCNTATTTGTNTGACGTTNCGGAGGGAAACGGAAACGGGCCGGCAACCACTTTGGAACAACTCGGAGTCAATTCCCTCTCTATGATCTACGTCTACACAACTTCCTTCCCATGCCCGTCTGGAGACATCCGGTCTATCGTTCCAGCACAAGTCCGACTTATAACCCAGTTCGCTTCTGCTGCTTCGAACCTTTTTAATCAAGCAAAAACCACAGCTCCTTCATCATCATCGAATCAAAATGCTCGTACTTCACAACAGGCTGACGACGGCGATGATGGATCGATTAAAACAATGTTCTCTCGGAAAGTTCTGGAGAAGCCATCTATGCTCAAAGCTCTGACAGAAAACATGTTCTTCCGATTGAAAAATGAGGCACATAAGCTCGCATTTCAACTTCCGGATCTCGTTGAACGGTTTACTCAGAATAAGGACCAGACATACAGTGAGTCTATTCTTTGTATTTTAAAATTTAATTTCGTTTTATTTTCAGAAGAATTCGAGGCATTTTTCCGTTCATACATTGAAGAGGAGGTTCATAAAGAGGAAATCATTCAGAACAACCCAAACTCCGCGGAAGCAAAAATGTTCTTGGAAGCTAGACGCAACAAGGAATTGATCAATGAGCAGTATGTTCATGTAAGCTGTTAAATAAGTTTTCTAAACTAATTACGTATTATTTTCAGTCGATGACTCATCATCCAGAAGACATGATCGCTGTAACTATGCTCTATATCAACTTGACAATTAACGGAGTTCCAGTCAAAGCTTTCATCGATTCCGGAGCTCAAAAGTCAATTATGTCGATGGCTTGTGCCGAACGTTGCAATCTCAATGGCTTGATCGATCGGCGGTTCCAGTCGATGGCTCGTGGAGTCG